CAAGAACACCTGGGTTACCCAAGGATTGGAACCACTACCCTAGGGGGAGCCAAGCTGAATTATATGTGGAGTGGCAGAAGAAGAGAATTGTTAGCTATCAGTATCTTCTGCGCTTCCCTCTTAGGAATAGAAGGTAGGTTTTCTTGCTGTATTTTAGGACTTCCTTGATTGGACACTCCCATCTCTCCCAATAATTGACCATACACAAAGGAAGAACTTGGTGGGTGATGTTCGGCCTTTGTTTCAGCAGTCAAATACTTCACTCACAAATAGAGGCACATTGCCATGTCTGCAAAGTAACCATATTATTCACTTGAAAAAGAGATGAAGAATCAGGAAGAGTGAGATATATTTCATCCCCTTTACCGGAAGCATTTTAGAAATGTACTGTTGGATTTAGAGACTACGATGGAGTATGCAACTCAGAACTGCTCTACACAGCTAGATGGTCAATTGGCAGGAGGGGGCAAGTAAGGCAGGCAGCACACTCAAGATGATAGATCCAAGTCAATCCACAGTGGTTCATCTTCTTGTAGACTGCTTCTTTAGCCTCTTCAGGTTGTGAGGAATTAGAGCAGTTACTGCTGTTTGCCTCAGTTCCAGGATACTGACAGCTTTGGGTAAAGTAGTAACAAAGTCCTGTCCTGGAATGAGGTGGGAACTGATGGACGTCTTTGTCTGATTGATCTTGCCCCAACTATCATACAGGGACACCTCCAATTCGAAGGTGGGGGGGACAAGAAAAGTAAATGAGACTTTGGGTTTATAGGGGGATTTAGGACGATAGGTTAAATCTCCCACAGTTTCTCTAAAGCAAGATGTGGAAACAGTTCCTATCATCCATGGCCATTGGCTATACTACTTGAAAATAATGGGAGTTCAACTTAACGTAAGGTGATACATTCCCCACCCCTGCCCTAGAGTGCTATGGCAGCAAATTTCTCACTTTGTAGTACAATATGAGTTTATGGAAGTGGGAATGTCCCAGGAACTCCCCAGCACACTTGAGGGACCTTCACCCATCCATATATTGAAATTTACTACCACAGTTTAGGAGTCTGCCTTTCATTCCTCTGTTTCCCAACTTCATGTAACTGGGCTGAAGAAGGGCAGTGGGTAAAGAAGAGGGTTACCTACAGATTCAGGCTTGTGTACTTAGACGGTTGTCAGTAAGACACCCCTCTGACCACCACTTTCCAAAATATAATTTTGGTAGTAATAAGTAGTACCAAAAATGTTGGATTGCATATAGCATCTAAAATAAAACTATTTTTTGAAAGCGCAAGCATTGTACAAAAGCTAGCAACTGTCCACTTCTTAGCATAACCTATGTCACAGTATTTGCACACATCTTCCAAAAAGCTCCAACAAACTAAGAAAAGATTTATACATTTCCATATACAGTAACAGAACTCTGAAACATATTAACTAAACAGACTAATAAGACATTTACTAATAAGCAGAAATGTGCTTTGGATTCAGCTGAATCATAAAACAAACTAAGCTGATTTGAAGAGATTCAGGTCATCTCCCAATCAAAATGGGACCATTCCAAAGTGGAACAATTCCAACCCTGTCCTCTCGAAATATGAATCATACTTAGTGATTCAGACTTGGGAGATCCATAGAGAGCCAAAGCTTTTACTGCAAAAATCGGTACATTTGTGCACCAGGAATCTATGTAACAAAATCTCAAGATGGGGAGAATTCCTCTATCATAATTTCCTAACCTTTGCTCTTTCTCTTCTGAAATCTTGCTGCAGAGAAAGAGATGGGGAAACAAACCAATCCTTATGTAAAACTGAACACTTAGGTCTACAAAAAAAATATTGTGATCATTCTTCTGGAAAATTTCTGGTTACTGAACTAGCATTTCTGTTTTGGAATTATAAAATTAACAGGTACTCTGGCACTACACTCTGTCTACCTCTTCTGAAATTTGGCAGGCTTGGTCCCCTCAAAAAGGTTAACTCCGCATGCATATTTCATTGAACTATACCAATAAATTGTTTTTTTTAAAAAACGCTGTTGCCAATTTTTTTCTTAAAAAGAATCAAAATGTTAACACCCATAGTATTAGAAATCCCTGCATCCCTTTCTCTGACAGTTACGATTCCTTCACAAGGGATTAATATGTCCGTAAATTTATTCTGGGTCTGCTAAGCGAGTGGGAAGACGGCTACAGCCACTTGTTAATTTCTAATGAAAGCATATAGGAAGCATGAAGATTTCAATTTCTGAATCAACATTCAGATTTGTACATGGGTCAATCTAGAAGACAGATTTGATGTATTTGTGAAAGCTTTCACGGCCAGGATCTAATGGTTGTTGTGAGTTTTTCGGGCTCTTTGGCCGTGTTCTGAAAAAACCCACAACAACCAACAGACAGATTTGTTTAATACAAATCAGGGAATGTTCAGAATCTCCAGATCGGGGTTCAAACCAAACCTTGTGGTCTGGCACACGCCTCTACTAAGAAGACAAGAATGACCTACAGTATTTGGTTGTTGTGGGTTTTCCGGGGTGTTTGGCCGTGTTCTTAAGGGTTTTCTTCCTAACATTTCGCCAGTCTCTGTGGCTGGCATCTTCAGAGGACAGGAGTCAGAACTCCTATAAATATCTATCATTGCTATTCATTCTGGACCCTAACTTGGCTGCCTTCATAAATTAACTGATGGTATTTTTCACAATATAAATCTAATAATCTGTTCAAATAAAATTCAAAAAATAAAATAAAAACTACTGCACTTCCTATTACCTGTATCTTTATTTTGAATACTATCAGTAGAAAATATACAAGGAACATGATGTGAATGATATTTCCTGACAAGTTTCAATTGCTAAGATATTAATAAATCAAACCAACCATTATGAACAGAATTCATTGGTTTGGATGCTGACGGGTGGGTTCTAATTTTCATTAGGATTTTCATCTATGAGTGGAACAGAGTTCCCATTCAGGGAGCAGGGCTTTCCCACCTTCCTGCACACTTTCTCAAAAGAATAGTTCTGGGTACTTCAAGAATATTGCATTTATTGTGAAACATTTTGCAGATGGAGGAAATGTTGGAGGAAATTACCATCTTTTACATAACTAGAAGAGCAACTTAAGATCCAAGTCAACATATCTGAAGTCAGCTGTTTCTCTTCCACCATATCTACAGGAAGAGTAAAATTTACCTTTGGTTTACTCAGAACCATTTCCATGATTTACAGTCACACTCACAACCAAGACCTGTGTTTGCATTTACTTCCATGCAAAAATTTATCTCTCAAACTTTTCAATGTTAGTCTTATTTAAGCAGTACTTTAAAAAATTAATCAAATGCCAATATTTGCATATGTTAATATTCTGAAAATCTATATAAGCCAGTAGACACATCAGACAGTATTTTAAGCCACATGAGATGATGAGTATATTTATTGCAAAGAATGAAATGTGAGCATATATATAATCAATAAACCTTTTAGACTACAGGTAATTTTTTTTTAAAAAAAATTAGTAACTTGCTGCCTGATGCTAGCCATCTTTCTCAGAATTCTTGCAGTACAATGGGCCTTATTCCTAAACAAGTATGCCTATAATTGCAGCATCAGAGAACTATGCACTGTTAATTTATAGTCACAGCTCCTACTGTGTACCCAAATCTAAGAAGTAAGTCTTCAGAGCCAAGTGGGCCCTGCTTCCAGATTCTGGAATGAAGAATGATGCAGTAATACTTACTTCAGAAAGAGATCTGGCCATATATCCCTAACTGATGGAGAAGCTCAGCAGGAAAAAAGCAATCATGATTAGTTCGGATGGGTTACCAACACAGCAGTAACAAAGCACATGTTTGTATCTTAGAAGTTGATTGAATATCTTCTTTAGTTCACAAAAACAAGTTTAACAACAGGATTGTAAGCATTAACTGTTGAAAAAAATCTAGATACTATGCTGAACACTCTACAATTTATGGACATATACTCAAATCCACCAACTTCTCATAGGTGCTAAGGCACAAACATATATAAAAGGTCCCTCACTCACCTGTGATGTCACACTGCACATATAGATCTGTTTGTTCCATTAGTACTATTGACTCAGCATGCATGAAAGAGCTCCAAGTCTGTACATAGTTTTAAATGTCCTAAAAACCCTTGATGGGCCCTCCATTTTATGATATTGACCCTTATTTCCTGGTTACTCAAGCAAGCTCCCTGTTAAATAAAAGAGTGAATACTATCTTTTTACAGTAGGTCTGAACACCAGTAAATGAGATTTACATGCAAAACTGATGATGTGGGAGGACATATAGCTTCCACTTATTCTAACAGGGCACATCCAACATGGATGAGGAGCCCATTCGAGGTCACTCATTGTCCATATTGGAATGATTTGAACACAACACTCAACTATTGTTTGGGCTTTAAAAATGAACATAGCCTTTCCTGCCAGGCCCACAAACTCCATCTTCCTTCTCTAACATGGTGAAGAACTGTAGAGTTTGGAAGCTTTCCTTCTATTTTTAGATTAATCACAAGTGCTTTATGTCATTCAAATGAATCACCAAACTGTGATTCCTTTCAGCAGTGGTTGACCAATTTATGAAGCTAGCTTGCTTTCCCTAACCATAGCTAAGGTCTTTGATGGCATGTTAAACAGCAATACAAATATTTTGTGGCCAAATGGCTGGGAAGTAAGGAGGTTTGTTCTCCTAATGCTTACCCATGTTTAGCTTTATATTTAAATGCAGCCACTCAAGCTCAACTACAATAATATTACTGCATGTTCTGGAAATATCATACATTTGAAATAAAACATTTTCAGGGTTTAAGAATTAGAATGGTATAGTATCAATAAAAAATTAATTGCCCAAAACAAAAATCTACCTATAATTAATCACCTTTATCTCAATTTCCATTCCGCTTGAGTACAGGAAGATATTTTTTAAGAAACGAAATTATAAAAGGAGCTTGCCTTATTATGGTATAATAACTTTAATATTAAAGGCATAGACTAATAAATGCAAAATTTATTTCAACTGTACATAACAAATACTTTTTTTAAAAAAAAATCAAAACACTTAGTTATATGTCACCACAAACAATAAAATGCAAACTGTACAATACAATGCACATTAAGATATACATCTACGTTCTGTTTCCAAAAGTCAGTAACTTACTAAAGATGGCTTCTCCCATTCACAAATGAAATGCACAATATATAGATTTATTCATTTTTATGTCACTATGTACACATTATTGTGTTTTGGCATGATTATGCAAAACACGCAATTAATATAGCTTAGTGTCAACTTACAGTAAATACTTATTGAATGGCAATATTGTTTAAGCCGTGTGAAAGGGACCCACGATGGCTCACACCTACATTCTAATTCAAATTCTGAATGCTTTCATTTTAATACTAACTGTACACACATATCATACAGATTGCATAAATAATATTAACAATGGTACCTTATGTTAAGTTCCACAAAAATAAACACAATGTCTGGGCTTGATACCACAATTTTACCACTGGATTTTTTCAAAACGTTTGTTGCTTTAATACTTCTGACCTATTCAAAATAGTCACCCGTCTGCAACAGCAAGAACACTGAGGACTTTTAATGGTACAGTTACAGTGGAAAAAAACTAGCAAAAAGATCCCATCATTCTGTCTCATAGCTCTTATAAAAATTAATAGTGGCAGTTTATCAGATATTCAAAATGAATTAAACATTAATTATGGCAGAAATGGAAAGTTCAGAGCAACCACAATATTTAAAACTCATAATACATCATCAGAGTAACAGGAACATTGTTAAATGCTTTTGGCCACTGTAAACAATACCTGCTTTCTAAACCCAGGAACTATTCCTTAGTGATAATAATGACGTATATCTGTAGTGTCATCCATTTTAATTTGATTTTTTTTAAAAAAACACGTGAATACTTAGTTTAGGAAGAAATGCAAGAAGTGAAAGCCCCAGCTGACAACATTTTCATAACCATTCCACTCTGGTGGACATATGTCACTTGTTCCAACTTCATGTCTTGGTTTACTGAAAAAGCAGCAAAGGTCAATGCACCTTTGAGCAGGGAAAGAGCAAGAAGAGGTCATGTTTGCTTACCCTTCTTCTTTCTGGACATTCTCTATCTCAGCTACTCTACTACTTTCAGTTGCCATATGTTAAAAATGTGACTTCCGGTCAATTTAAAGAAAAACTAGCCAGAATGGAAAGGGCTAAGAAGACTCTTCTTTACTCACATCAGAATCTAATTCTGTAAACTGTTGCAAACTTCGTTACATTTTAAATCTTCTACTGCCAGTGTGGGGTTACAGCTACTCTGCCTCACAGAGGTAATGGGAACTCATTCCAAGACGAGCGGAACAGCAGCAAACTCACTGGTAGGTACTCTCTGGTCACCCTTTGAGATCACTGCTTTGCTATTTAGTATCAGGTACACTGTTCTTAGCATTCTTAGGATTTGTCCTTGGTATTGCGCACTGCTATAGCCCTGCAACTTAAACTGCTTCCGTTAAACCACTAAACAGAGAAAGGGCTGAAGCAAGTCTATTAATAGTCACTTGGTCCAAACTGAATGGTGCATCCCACTTGCCATACCATAATAGCTGCAAATTACTGTGCATCTTTCAGCACTAAAAATGGATCTTAAGAGATGAAGCTTTCAGTTCAGTTAAAGTGCAGCACACGCACGCACGCACGCACGCACGCACGCACGCACGCACACACACACACACACACACACACACACACACACACACACACACACACACACCCTCTGTGCTATTTCATAGCTAGCAACTAAGGATGTTCTCTTCAACACTTCATCTTAGGAATGTTCATTCACAAACTACTTCACATGAAATTAAGTGCAATAAATTTTATGTCTAACGTTCTCAGTAATTTTGTTCCAATTTTCTTGCTTGGGTCATTTATATCCTGTTCGATAATGAAACCACTGAAATTACAAAGGTTTGTAGATGTTCATTATTATTTGGGGAGCTGCAAGTACTGATGGTTAAATTGCCAGAAAGCAAGAACAGAACAATACTTAATTTAATTCAAACAGTATCATTACCATAATGAGAACATTAAGCTGAATATGGGCAGCAGAATTCAGCATCACTGGGGTGGGGTAGGGAAGTTGCCTGTTCAGAATTTCTAACAGCAATTCTGTACTTACGTTTATTTTTTAGACTACTTTCTCTACAATCTTCTTCCACACGACAGACCCTCCCTCCAACAATAACATGGGCATAAAATAGGAGCTGAACACTGAAAGGGTGTCAACATATTCTTAACCCAAATAAAAAGCTGGTTGTTCAAAAGTGAAATTAACAAAATTATATTTACATGTCACAGACATATGTGAAGAAGCATGCTCCCCGTCACCCAAATCACCTGAATGAATGGTTGAAATTTAATAGGGACATATGACTTTGGCACTCCCAAAATCTGGACAAAGGATCTTCATGAGTGGTGATCTTCAGACTGAATTTAGAACTTCTCCCTTGATGCAGAAAATGATCTATGCATGATTAGTGGCCAATATATGTTGGTGCATGCCTACCAGACTTCAACCAGTGAGCTACAGAATTAACCCTTCAGAACACTGTTTAATTCTCCTTTGCCAAACATCTGTATTTGCAAACTCTTCCAGTGCTGAACAGAGTATGTTGTGAAGAGGAAATGGAAGAGGCACAAGCTGCTACAGAAAACACCTGCTCAAATCCCATTTGGATGCCTAGTGCCATTTGTGTAAATTACACAACTTCTTGCAGTGTGTGCATTCACTTTCTACAATGTAGTGTAAAGTGATAACAAATCTCATCCTGGCATCAGAATTGAGTTTTAGAAGCATGCACCTTCCCAAGCTTAATTCCGTCTGAAACATGTAAGATATATAGACAGCATAGTAACTAGCACCAGATCCTGCTTTTGCTTCCCAAAACAAACACACAAGATTGACCAAATATACAAAACTGTGTGGATTTGCCATTTCTTGTACATCTGCAGTTGTTTTATGTTTTCCCAGCATTTTTTTGTTCTTAAACAAAGATGAACCTACACATAGTAAGACTAAAGTATTCTCATATGGCACCAAGTGTTTCACAAAGTACAAGCATGTGCTGTAAGAAAGAGACTGAGTGGGAGAAGAAATAGAAAGTGTTGTACCTACTTTGAAACATGAAAAAAATCTATATCATTCATACCTATAAGTATACGTTTATCAATGCTGCCAGTTTTTATATTTAAAAAAACCCTGTTAAGTGTATTCCACGAGGTATGACTGACTGAAGTATCAGAAATTTCTTCGAAAGATTGTTAAAATATCACATTAAAGAGACAAGAAACTGCAAGAAAACATCTAAGAAAAGCAGGCTGTGATACAACAAGCATTTGTTAAGAAAAGCTCAGAAGTGCATTAGTTCTGGTGAGAGATATATGAGCAACAGCTCTTACGAGATGTAGACCCCATTCTGTAACTATGGGCTGTCCATATACTGTCATAGTCAGAGTCTTCAGAGAGGTCGGAAGGCTCCAAACGAGAAAGGCTACTGCGACGACCCAAGGAGTCTAGACTTGATTGGTCATCATCAGCCAAGACGTGATTATGCATCAGGTCAGTGCCTTGCCATGCTAAGGATGTATGGGTGAAATGAAATGGTGGATGTCGACAGGCAGAGGTGGGATGAGGAGGAGAACATACAGGATAAGCCACAACCAAAACACATGAAACAAAAGCAAAAGGTGACGGGAAGAAAAGGAAAAGAGAAAATATTGTTAAAAAGGCACCAAATCATGTTACCTTTATTTAGGTTGGGTTTTATGTACAAATTATACTAAGCATGTACATTCTATTTTAAAAATGGGGAAAAGAAAACAAAGCCAAACACATCATCACAATATGAATCTGTTTTTAATGCTCCTGAATTTGTCTTTAATTATCTTGTTCACAGGGGTTGCTATCTATTTATTAGGACAAATTGTGCTTATTTGAAAAGAATGATTTTGACAGGGGGGGTAGTAAATGAGTAAACTCCTCCCTACTAACCTACAATGAATCCAAAGGAAGTCTTTTAAATAAGAAGATTTATAGCTTTCCTACAGCTTAGCTGCCACTCTTCTAATATTGTTCAAAATCACTAAATCATTTTCCTCTTAAATGCTGATTTTGACCACGGCCTTCAATGCAGGATTATCTCTGCTATTATTCCTATGGAGCACTGTGTGTGAGTACTAGGAAGGTGGAAATCTGCAAGCAGGAGCATATTGGGCAGTCCACTAACCAACACAAATCCTTTTCTAGGAAATTACTTGAGAAATGTGGCTGGAATTCTGTTGCACAAATTATAACCATGCAACTAACTGTGAAACACAGTTGTTTCAGGATAATTAAAAGATTCCTCTCCCCTCCTCTCCAGATTGATGAGAGATTCTTCAAGCATTAAAGTGCTCCCTCCTCATTCCACAACTCCCAAAGGCTTTTCCAGGACAAAGGGGATTCCTAGCAATCTTTGGAACCTGGAGGGGGAATAGGAAACTTTTAATTCCTCTGAGGTGTCCATGGCTGGTAATATTAGCACAGTTGCACAGCTGAAACTTGCACAGCAGGATTCCAGCCAGTGGCAATTTCTCCACAACAACGCTGTCAGAGCACCCATGGAAGAGAATTTTGAATTGATCCTGAATGATTACGCAAGGGGGCAGGAAGAGAACCTGAAACTGATGTGAAGGATTATGAAAATGAAACTTTTTGAGAGAAATTCAAAACTAAATGGAAAATAGGCACCTAGTATAGGGCAGGATGCAATGGTACAGTCCGGTGACAGAATTACTTCCATCAGCAGAACCCGGAAGGAGGAGAAACACCTTATTTCACCTGCCACATCCCCACCATATGTTCAAAACCTCCTCTGGGGAGATGGATACCTTCTGGGGGGCTAAATACAAGAAAAGAAGGAAGTCCTATAGTAGAACTGGGCATCTGCTAGACTGAAGCTGGATTTTCGTCACTGTAATATTATTCAATACCAATCTATTGAAAATTAATATATCTGAAGCTAAAGCCCAAATCAGATATATAATTTATGGTTTAGCATTCTTTGGAAACCTTGCTACACAGATACATTGAGGTGTTTGTATAAGCAAATTTTAAATATAGCTGCAGTCATTTCAACAGCACCAAAACAAATTCCCTGAAAAACATGTCCAACAGTTTGATCAAAAACTGTCAGGATCCCCTGAGGAAGTTATGCTAAGCAAAATACCTACAATATGAAGCTGCCTCCACTTTGTTGTGTTCTCAACCTCTCACCAATTGTTTCAAATGGCACAGGTGAAATGGGGCCAAACTTTGAAGACTATTATGGATTTACCATTCATTGTAATAGAGGCAATAAAAGTTTTGGAGGAGGAACACTGTGCAATGTTAGAGTGCACACAGATCTCTGTAATGGGCCATTCATACTAATATTAGCTGTACATCATGGGAGACAGAATGCATCTATCTACTGCTTCCCCATGTGATCAGTTAGCTATGAAATGTTCATCTTGATGTGACATTTTAGGCCATGGGGAATGTTCTTCAAATTCAGTGAAGTCAGAACAATATCTTGCCTGCACACAGAGTAAGCAAGAAAAGAGCTGGAGTTCAAGTGGGGAAGGGCTGAGTGGCAGAGCATGTGCCTCCATGCAGAAGGTCCCAGTTCTGACACCTGTCATCTCTAGGAAGGACTGGAAAAACTCTTGCCCCCAAACTCAAAGGACTGCTGCCAGTCACTCTTGAGAAAATATTGAGAGAGATTACCTAAGGCTCTGACTCAGTAAAAGACAAGGTCCAATGATCCTTGGTTAGTGAAAACACTGCTAGAAGCCAAACTATCCCTGCCCTGCTCTTAAGAAATCTAACTAAAAGGCATTCCCCAACAACAAAGTTAACTTTCCCAACTTTGCTGACTTTTCCTTGCTGGGAGAGAAAAGGCAGAAAAGAGAGGGAAAGGGAAACAATTCTGAAAACTAATATGCTAGGTATACACTTAAGCTGCACAGCACAGGGGGTACACACCCTGACAAAAGATTTTTAAAAGGTAGATCTAAAGGCAAGAGTAAGCAAAGCATAGTCCTCCAGATACTGAGGGACTTCAACTTCTATCAACCCTAGGCAATGAAGAATGCTTGGAGCTAGGATTCAACAATATCTGGAGGGTCATGCTTCGCCCTTTCCTGCCTCCAGGGCTCTAAGATTGACTATGCAGGCAAAAAAGGCAGAGATTGAGGCCCTCAGCATCAGGGTGGGAAAATAGAAAAGAATGTCTTAGATAGTGATCCCCAACCTTTATGCTCCATGGATCGGCTTAGCGTGTGTGGGAGGGGCGTGTGCGTCCATGCATGTGTGGGATGGGCCGTGCATGCATGGGAGGGGCCATGTGTGCATGGTTGGGGCCATGGGAGGGCCGTGCATGCGTGGGAGGGGCACATGCATTGGAGGGGCCATGTGTACATGGTTGGGGCAATGGGAGGGCCGTGCATGCGTGGGAGGGGCTGTGTGTAAGTGGGAGGCATGTACAAACATGCACCTGCTCGTGTGGGGAGGCAGGATATTTGTCTCCGCGGTCCGGTCCTGGCAAGGCCACGGACTGGAACCGGTCTGCATCTGGAGGTTGGGGACCCCTGGTCTAAGAGGTATAATAGTTCCTCTAGGAAGCCCTTTATTTGAAGATCAGGGCAAAAGTCTTTGAACGTAAATAAATACTGGGACCTATGACACTTGGGATTTAGCAGCTGGAAGAGTAGGGAATGAATTATTTGTGGAAAGTTTTGCTTTTCCTCCCATGCACAAATATTTGCAGTGTTCTACATTAGCAGAACTCAGACTGACTATATAGAAAGGCTATATGGGAAATTACTTTATTACATTGAGAGTGGAAGATAGCACATAGAGTTAAATACATGTTATAACAAAGAAAGAGAAAACAGGGGAGGAAAACTCAATCACTAGCTATTTTCTTTTCCATGGCCATGTCTGAAAAACCCTGTCACAATACAGTGGTACCTCGCATAGCGATCGCTCGTAGATAGCAAGTTAAATACATGTTATAACAAAGAAAGAGAAAACAGGGGAGGAAAACCTAATCACTAGCCCTTCCATGGCCATGTCTGAAAAACCCTTTCACAATACAGTGGTACCTTGCATAGCGATCGCTCCGTATAGCGATGAAATCACTTTGCGGTGGACTTTTTGCCACTGCAAGAGCGATCGCTTTGCGATGGCCCCTATAGGGAAATTTCGCTTTGTGATGATCACAGGGAAGCGATCATCGCAAAGCCCCCATTTTCGGCCAGCTGATTGGCGGTTCCAAAATGGCCACCGGGTAAACAAAATGGCCGCCCGCTGTTTTGCCTCGCTTTAGAGGCACCGAAAATGGCTGCCGCAATGGAGGATTTTCGCATAAGGTTAGTTTTTAAGCCCGCGTTTCTATGGGCTTTTTAAAATCGCTTAGCGATGAAATCGCTTAGCAGCGATTTTTGCTGCACCGATTAGCATCGCTAAGCGAGGCACCCCACTATGCCTCCCCACTTGGGAATACAAAAGCTTCTGACCTATCTCTGGCATCACAGCCTTCCCATGTCACTGCTTCCCTAGCCATACACAATTTGAATTTCTGGAAGGAGCACTTCCAAATTATCAAGTGGAAGATGCTACCATCAGAACGACCGGATTTACACTATGAACGAAGAGGTGAGGACAAACAGGCATCGGCAATACAGCGCAGCGTTTTCGGGCCCTCGTTAAGCAAGGCGAGGGCCCGAAAATGGCTGCCGGCCATTAAGAAGATTCGCTGAACGGTGAGTATTTGGCCCATTTGGAACGCATTAAACCATGTTTAATGCGTTCCAATGGAAATCCCTGCCCCGTTCAACGATGCTTCAGCATAGCGAAGGTTAATCCGGAACGGATTAACCTCGCTATGCGAGGCACCACTGTACAATAATATGCTGAAAAGGTGCTGCACTCTATGCTCATGTTACTTCTATTTATTTATCTAAATTTTATCCCACCTCTCTCTCCTAGTGGGGGGACCCAAGATGGAATGCAAAAAATTTGAGATCAATCATTAATTAAAACAAATTGATTTTAAGAATTAAAATTAACTATGTACATTTAATTTTAAAATTACAATTTTAAAGCCCTCCCCATTTCAAATTACTCCTGGCTCCTCAAAAGCCTTTCTAAAAGTGGCTTCTAGCACTTTGTGCAGACTTAGGCACAGAAATTTCCCAACGTATTAAAAACATGATTAAGAGACTGAAAAACAGTTCTAGTATTGGCCTTATCTAAAAGCAGAAGGTCAAATCTAATTGTTCTTGACAATTCGTATAAAATTATATGTGGGAAGATAATTAAAAAATAAATAACTATAATTTTAACAATAAGCAGCCTTGAAGAAAAGAAGCCGTGCAGCTAATTCCTATTATCTTTATTTTCATTGTAGATAAATGCAAATAAAAGTTGTAGATTTCTGATGTATGCCATGATATTTATTGCACTATGTATATCTGCAAAATATACATAGAAAGAAAAAACCAGCAAAAAAACAAAATACATTTTGCATCATTTGTGTGTCTCTGCAAGAACACAGTGGCATAAACTGAAAAAAGCTGTTTCAGTTAGCACTCCTGGGTCAACCTTGGAGAAAGATATATTATAAACAGGCAGTAACCAAGCACAGTTGTGCCATTAAATCTTCTGATATACCTTGTCCTACCCCAGCTATATCACCCACAGAATTCTAAGAGCTGTCATTTCAAATTGTAGGACCAGAATCAATTAAAATACAAAAGTCTAGATTTGGAGAGAATCATTAAATGCCCTAAGCATAAATATGCCTAACATAGCAACCAACAACCTTACTGCACCATAATATTATTGCTTATAAAGTGTAAGCTAGTTTTATGATTAATAGCAAAACTGTGCAAACTGCAATAACCAAAGATAATATTTTCTTCCCTTATATAGATAGAATACATGCTGACAGATTCTCCTATTCAGGTGCAATGCTTTACTTACAATAGAGGATCTCCACCATTGCAGCCTTGTTTAAGATTAAATAACTTGGGTCCCCAAGACACAGTGTAAGTTGATATATGTCTGAGTGATTGAAAACAGCAACCTTGCTCAACAGTTATTTTTAGAAGTACATATATATTTTTCTGAAATGAAGGGGAAGAACCACAACTGTAACAGAATGACAGTCTAAATGGTTAGCAATTGTTTATATCTCATCACCTTTCCAATATAAGTAGCCACATTTGCAAGGAACAGAAGACCAAGATTCTCTAGAACCCCAGCTTGAAATGAGTTAACAGCATATTGTTGCACACAGTGTGTTCATTCCTACTTTCATTCTCCTGCTAGAGTGAACAGCTATAGAAACAGAAATAGGTAGCTGTTTTGCCCATCATTCAAACTCACATGCTGGACAGCTCAGTAGCTTATGCTTCTGGCGTGGAGCCAGAGGCTGGGAGTTCAATTCCCCACTATGCCTCCTACTGCAAGAAGCGGCCAAAATGTGTTTTGCATGCATCATTGCTTACCCCACACAGGGGGCAGCAGTTCAGTAGCACTAGTACCTCTCTACCATTCTATGTATGGGCTATGACACCACTGCAAGAGAGGAAATAAAAATACATAAGGATTGCCTAGAACAGTCCATAACAGAACAGGCAGATGTGAGGAAATCCTGAAGTATCCCCACTGCACGGAAGTCCACTTTTTGAACACTGATTGCTAGGACCAAGGAAAAGGCAGGATGCTGGGAGCGGATACCAACTTTACTCTTCCACAGTTCTTTACTCACTGTTCTTTGATCTCACTCAAAAAATGCAAATCTATTTTTCTGAGCCTCAAGGATAGCATACATCCAGTTCTAAACCATAAAGACACTATGGATCAGCTACTGCAAGCTTGGGAATACTGATTCAGAGTGGGAGATAACAACCCACAGTCCTAAACAGACCATGGATGGGGCTCAAGCCTCTCAGGTATGAACTACAAATTTCAGCATGAATATCCAAACCCAACATATTTACATGCACAATCTGAGAAATTGAATAAGATACTTGTTCTGTTGCCCGGTCTGCCCATTGCAGTACGTCTGCTATTGCCAAATCTGACCACTGGGAGGACGGGGATGCAAAGGAGTACAGAAGGTTACTCACTAGATTTTCTTGTTACTACATGGAACCATCTTGAATCAAAGTTTTGGGAACAGAGATTTGCTTGCATTATTCCAGATACATATAACTTATTTCCAGATTACTTCCATCCCCTGCCCCAGTCAAAATGAAGTACATGGACTACAAAGTAGAATTTCTTGTTGTATGAATAAGATAACACAATATGTTTATGTTATACTAGAACTTACTTGAGTTTAATGTTTGGCGTGTTTTGGCACTTGTGCAGTAAGCTTCAATTACTTTTAGAATCTGAGCATCTTCTTCTAATGCAGCTGTACCTGTAGGGCATAAAAATAATCACCCACACTATGCAATGTCATCTCAAAACAAACAATGTGACTGATATATCAATCTAAAATACACACTTCTCCATCTTTTGTGTCAATATTTAGTTTTTATTTATTTATTGAACACATGCCCCACCCATCTAGGGGCAAGCCACAACTCTGGACAGCTACAAAAGAAATAAAGACAGGTGCACAAAAATATAACATATTTGCTTGTCAAACTCTTAGCTCTTCATAAGCTGAGATCTGACAAAATCTTTTGCATACACATTTCCCTTTTTCGCTCCTCCTTTTTCATGTTTCCTGGTTCAGACATACCAATAAATCACGGTTTAACGTCATTACAAGACTAGCTATCACAGTCTACAAGTGGGTTCTGGTCACTTGGTATGTTATAGCACTCTTAGCCAAAATTTCAACTAAATGGGAAACTACGCTTAATTGAACATCCCCTGGTCTGCTTGCTGGCTTGCATGAAAGAGCTGCATGCACAGGCAAATGTGTTGACTCCTGGAAACTTCCCATATTTAGATACACCATATTGCTTTGCTAGGGGTTGTGCTGGAAGTGGTCTGGAAGTATGTCAAGTATCTCCTTTTTCACATGCTGCTTGATTTCTCTGGCTTGATTTCATTTGCCAATGGGAGCATAAACCTGGAAAACCTCTGTCACTGATTTAGCACTTCATCTGAATTGAAGTATCTAGCCCTTTTGCTTGCTAATCAGCCAGAATTACTAATTTAGAAGACACTGTGGCTTAGATTGTAGCTCATTAGAAAAGCAATAAACCAGAGATCCTTGTTTGGATACAATGCTAAATAAACAAATTGCCTGCTTAGCTGCCCTAGTAGCACAAGTCAAGTGGGAGCAATTGATGGCTTGTTCTTTCACACAGGCATCGATATTTTTTAGACATTCTGGATTATTGTGATATGTAAAACAACCCATTTTGTTTGGGGAAAAGATTTTTCTATGAATGTGGAAAATATAGTTCACCAATCATTCTAATAGTAGGTTGTTCCATAATTGGGAATGTTTTGTTAAACCAGTGAAATCCAAGAATGACTCTCTCTTCACAGACATGGGGTACAAGTTCCATTCAAACTGAACTAATCCAAAGACATCTGATCTTTTTTTAAATAGCTGAGAACAATGAATTTTTTTGAGAAGAAGAGTTAAAAAGGATTCACTCCCTAATATACGAATATGCACTTACTTTTCCTCAGTGCAAATTCTTCTTCTGATGGTTTCCGTTCAGGTTTTCGCTTAGGGAGCAGTTTTTTCATAGTTTTAGGACTTTTGCTGAGATCCTGATTGTGTTACATGAAACAAAACCACACACATGCAATGAAAACCTACCTATTTACAGATATCTGAACAGAGTAAATAATTAGCAATGAGGTATTACCGGAACTATCTTCTCCATCGCTTTTTAAAACAGTACCAGGTTCTGTTCTAGAAGTCTATCATACTAGAAGAGATGTTCTTACTGAGAACATTTACATACAGCTTGGTTCTCATGATGGCTATGCTTTGAAAATAAAACTGAAGATTTGCCCATGAGTTGTTGTTTTTTCCACCCCTTTCAGTCAGTAGTGTATTTCTTGATTTGGTGCAACCATGCTCAGCAGAAGCTTAGATTACATTCCTGAACGGAAAGGTATTTGCTAAGGTTCTGTATTATGCACCAGCTGACAAATACCTTTCTTATCAGGAGTAAAAGTTTGAAAGCACAATGTAAACACTTTGCCTAAAACATTTTATTTAACAATCATTTCTTCTAAACCATTTATCATTCTAAAATAAAATGTATTGATCCTTTATTCAACATTTTCCCATTTTTAAGAGAAAAAAAATCCTTTTCCTGTGATTTTCCCTTTTACTTCCTCCAGTCTTTTGTAACCTCTAAACATCCTGCTTTTTTTAAATTTCCATTTATAAAATTTTCAATGTTTGTTGGAGAAACCATAGAAGAAAAAAAGGATTAACATCAAAACTCAAAGGAAACCAGAGGAATTGTAAAGTTTCAACAAAATATTGGAAAAATAAGCATAAAAATAATGGTCCCCATGAAAACAACAAAAATAGTTAATCCACTGTGGCTCTTGACAACCAAATATTCCACACTACAAACTGTAAATAATTAAGTTCAAGATTAAGGTTCTTCTACCAAGACAACACAATGATAAAAAGGTTGCTTTGACAGATGCTGCCTCAAGAGAAGAACTTCAGTCTTATGTTCCTAGAAAGGCTGCCATTGACGGAAATGCACTAGAAAGGATTATTACAGTTTGAAAAAAGATTCCTTTTTTAGTACTGTAGTAAGGCTGCATAAATTATTGTGCCTCCCTGGCAGCAAGTGCACATATAGTCTAGAGCAGACCAAGACCTAAACACAGGAAGACAATTCACTGTTGATGCACCTTTATATATGCTAACAAACTGACCAGATTTGATAGCACTTTTCAAATATTTGATTTGTTTTTCAATCATCCCACAGTAAAGGACACATAATAATGGGCTCAAACTACAGGAAGCCAGATTTCAGCTGAATATCAGGAGAAAAACTTAACTGTTAGAGGAGCACAACATTGGAACCAATTATGTCTGGGGGTTGTGAGCAGTCCGACATTGGAGACATTCAAGAGAAAACTGGACAACCACCTGATAGATATCCTTTGATTTGGATTCCTACATTGAGCAGGGGGTTGGACTCAATGGCCTTACAGGCCCCTTCCAACTCAGTTATTCTTTTACTCTATTTTTCCTAATATTTCTTTAATAAACTGAAGAAGGCAAATCTGTTTCTCACAGCAAGAGCATCCTACCACACTTTTTTCCCAATAGGAAATGTAGTTGAAGGGGAAAACTGCATGAGATAATAAGCAATGAGAGGCTGAAGTTCAAACTAGGCATTCCTGCAGTACCCAGTCATAAAAAAGTTGAAAACACTCCTTTACTTAATATAAGCTGAAATGAAGCTTAAATGCTTTATGAAATCAAAGAACACATAGATTTATGACCTGGACTGAATGGAAGCTTTTAACTGGGTTTCTTATTCTCACCTCTTTGTAACAGAGCGCAGCTGAAGGCCGTAATGGAGGTGCTGGTCGTAAACAGCTCAAACTCCATGGTTTAGGAGTTTTAGGAGGCTCCAAAGGTCCCCAGTTTATAGTGGTATGAGGCGTCCCATGATGAGAAGGATGTGGAAGAGTGTGGTATACTGGAGTTAGTGGCATTTGCTTACTATCTGCATGTTTGCTGGATGGTGTTACAGGATGAGACGGAAGCTGCGAAAGGTATGAAGATTACAGAAAGAAAGGACATGATGAAAAGTGATTGTCACATACCTTCCTTAGGCTATGGATTCTGGGTTGTTGTTTTTCCCTCATGGGCCAGCATGGATTTTGTTTTTACCAATTAGCCATCATTGTTCAGTTAACCACAAAACCATACAATAACACTTAAACGGCTTGGTTACCATTCATGCAAATGCCAGCCTACCTGTCTACTGTAAAATCATGCTGACTAAAAATGTGAAGGGCAAAGCTACAAATGCCCCCACCATTGTCACTTCCCATCACTCCTTTACATATGGTGGACAATGGTAGGAACTGGAAAGCCTTTTACATCCATGGAAGCTCTCAATTTGGAAATCTGGAAAATCTCCATGGACAACAGAAAGTCTTCTCTTTGGACTAGTACCCTCCACTTGTGGAAAGTGCTAGAAAACAGTAACAGAAGGGGAAGGCTAGAGTCTGCCTCTCTTCCTCATATGTTCACTCAACAAAATATTACTACGTCTGAATAAAGCTCACACCATGTTATTAAATTAATCATGTATTAATTCCAAAACAACTGAAGCAGGGATGGACAAAAAGTGCAGACTATTGAAGCTGACTTTCTAGAATGTAAACATTTTGCATGTCACAGGATGAACTGATACTTTCCTAAAACCATGTATATCAGGGCAGATGACACAAATGCTTCCCATGTCAAGATAATTAGACTCCCTGAAAGGCAACACTAAGATGGGAGCCTATGTGTCTTTTCCCCTCTTGGGCAATGTGGTGTTTCTAATTTAAAAACCAGAACAGCAGCAGGGACCAAACCATACTTTATGCATCCCTAAACTGAGTGTTTATGAAATATACTGCAATACAGAAAGGGCAGCCATGTTAGTCTGTGCAAGCATTACAGGTAAAAGCAAAATATTTATTTATTTATTTATACATACCCCGCCTATCTGGACTACTAGTCCACTCTATAGAAATACGAAGTAAAAAAAGACAAAAATGTAATGGTCCCTTAAAGACTAACGTTTATATTTTTTAATGTGAGGTTTCAAGGAAAAGTCCACTTCATCAGACATATGCTCTTCTGTATCACTTCAACTATGTCTTGATTTTAACATACATAACACAAGTCCAAACACTCAAAAGTTTAGATACGAACTGTCTGAATGCATCATCCTACAGCCCCACAAAATGGACAACTTTTCTTTTCTGAGACTTACACCCACCCACACAATTTACTTAGCTTGCTTGAAATACTCTGATTGCTTACTGTAAAGCAAAGATCACTAAACACAGAGATCTTCTTACCGTGTGAGATGGCACAGAATGAGGTTTAATAATGGGGGTCCCAACTGTTGTCACTTTGGTTTGCTTTTGCAGATGATCTACCCATTCATGCAAATCTTGCTGGTTGTTACAAGATACTAATATTCGTTCAATCATATTTCCTAGAACCAAAAGGGAAACAAAAAAGGATTTTTAAAAAATCAAGAAACATCTCAGTAAAAATATGGGCCAAAATCCTGTTCAGAAAAATTGCTACTTGTTTTGATTTAATCATGTAGTTTCTGCAAACTGTACAAGATCTGGAGACCCAGAAATAGTTAGGTTATCTACCTATAACCATGGTTCTTCTAGTGGTCCTCTGTGAATTCACACAAATGGGTTTATCCTGCTCCTGTGCAGGATGTTCGGAAGGTTCTAGAGCCCTGGGTCCTCAAACTACAGCCTGAGGGCCACATGCGGCCCGCTGCGGACATTTATATGGCTCGCCGGGTGTTTATGCCGCCGCTGCCTGTCTGTCATTTTTTTTACATGAGAAAGATGGTCATTGGTGGAAGAGGCAGAGGGGGTGGCAGCCATCGCCGATTGGCTGGCAGGCTGAAGCGCTGGATCATGAGAATTGTTGTCCGGCTGCAATCTAGCTTCAGGGGGGGGGAGGAACCGAACAGCGCAGCCAGACTACGACTCTCATCTCCCAGGATTCAGAGGAAGCCAGGGCATTTGGGAGGGCCGCCTGAGCAGTGACTTGTGGGCAGTGAAGGTCGGAAGCGGGAGTGCAAAGAGCGGGAGAGAGTGTGGGAAACGGAGGCATCACAGCGCAGAGGCAGCTTGGAGGAAGTTGGGAGCATTATTACCTCAGTGTGAGCCTGAGGTAAAAGCGGAGTTTCACCAATCAGACTGCAATGATGGGCATTGTATGTCTGTGTGGGCAAAGGTATTGCTGGTATATTGTTTTTGTAGTGCTGTACAGTCCCGGGCTTCCAGCGCTATCGGGGCAGCCCTTCGGGAGAAGCTGGGCAGCGATGGAGCAAGGTGGGAGCCGATCCGGACTTTCTGCCCCACCACGCAGCTTCTCTGCTGCCGGAACCACCACTGGGGCAGCCTTTTCGAAGAAGCCAGGCGCAGCGAGAGAGAAATGGCAGATCAGCTCCCTACTTTTCTCTCCAGCCGCCTCGGAACCACCACTGGGGCAGCCTTTTCGAAGAAGCCGGGCGCGGTGAGAGAGAAATGGCAGATCGGCTCCCTACTTTTCTCTCCAGCCGCCCGGAAAAAGGC